AAAAACGGCCGTTTGTTGAGCGTAGACCCTTGGCACGTCTGCCTTGCAGCCGCCTGCCCCCCGAGGGTGGGGGGGGTGCCGGGGGGGGAGGCAGCAACAACGATGTGGTTACCAACCAACCAGGACGACGTTTGGGGGAAAGGCCCATCCCATCAACTGCGTGTCTTCAGCCGCCGGATGATCGCGCGGACTCACCGGGATGGGACTGCAGAGTGGCCCGGCTCTATGACCGTAAGGTTTTTGGGGGCAACAAGCTGTGGGACTTCGGCTTCGAAGGGTCGATAAATCTTCACCATGGCAAGAGGGTGAGACCGGGCAGAGGGGGACCGGGCAGAGGGTGACCAAAGCAGACATCGAGGAGATCAGAGTTGTCCACGATAGCGCGAGGCCCGCCCCTTTGGTCCAGCCTCTCCCCGCCGGGTGAGACATACCGCTGTGTGGCCCTCGAGGAGAGTCCGAACCGATGACCCCCGACCCGGAGCTTGTGCGGGGGGTGCGGAGACTTTCTCAGCTTGGTGTCGAGGACCTGTCCGACCAGAAAGATCATGGGGCCGCTGCCTCCACTGCAATCGTAAATCCCTGCCAAGGGCTGATCCGCCTGGCGGTCGTGCGGTCCGCGGAATCCCTGCCCGCCCTGGGCGGCAACCGGGGTGGTGCAGCATGAATGATCCCCGTCACCTATGGCTAGAGCGCGGTTCAGCAGAGCTACGTTACGACCTGCACCTCGAGACCCCGCTCCGCGATCTGGCCTCCACGGCATCCGCGAAGGATGCTGGCTCAGCTTTTTCCGACTGATGCCGGCCGTCTGATGTCGCGGCCCCCGATGGGATGGTCTCATGGCCCGGATCCAGCCGAACGACACCATCGTGTTTGGTATGGCTGGACCGCGTTTCACAGAGGCCGCAACTTCGAGAGGGCGTGAGGGAATCCGGCGGACCCTCACCAGCCGAAAATGGGTATAGTGGCAATCAAGGAGGGGTCGACAACCACCGACGACACGCTCCGCGTCCATGAAGAGGGTTACACTTTCCGCCGCGATCTGGCCACGGTGCCTACCAGGCTGATTCCACAGTGAGTTCGCATAAGGTGGGCCAAGAGCGTGCCAAGGGCCGAGGGGCGTGCCGCAGGGCCTACCAGCGCTTTCAACAACCGCCAGGTGACGAGTGCAAGCGGATGGTTTCCGGACAGAACCCGTCGGTGAGCCTGGTGGCCAGGAATCAGTGAGATCACTCGTGTGAGCAGCGGCCAACATTGCAATCTTCAATGAAAGTTCAGGCAAGCAGGTTGCAATGACTTGTCGGGACCGGGCCGGTCTGCTATTAACCCCAACCCCTGTGCCTGCTACGGGCCGGGGGTTACGGCCGCCGGGCTCGGGGGACGAGACAAGGAGCGGGACGGCGTTTTCCTGAAGGTGGCTTCGAGGGACCGGCCTCCTGTAGGGGCCCTGAAAGCCCTGGGCCGGTGATGCCACACCCGGACATTTCCCGGAGCAGAAGTTTTGCGCTCCTATGCGCCACAGCGAGATGGTGCAGCCGGAGCCCGCCAGGCGGCCAGGTTTCATCCGTGCGGGCCGATGCGGTACTTGGGCTGTTCCGCACACTGTTCAGACAGCGCGAAGGGCGGGACGTCCGTTCTTCATGGTTACACGGTTCAACATCCCTTGAGCCGGGTCTTGGCCCGACGCACTTCAGCAGTGTTTTCAACGGATTCGGGGGCTGTGGCCATAATCGAGGCTCCTGTGTCCGAAGGCTGCCAATTATAGGCAAAAAGAACCCTCCCGCCGGATGGCGGCTCAGGAACCGGCAGACCGTTCCGGTCGTTGCACTCTGAATTTGCCCGAATTCTCCCGGGAGCTGCGGGCCGGCGTGGATGGACTAGCAGCCGTCCGAGAAACAATGTTCCAAACGACAATCGTCTCCAACAAAGTTAATTATTCCGATTACGGTTTTAATAGAGCTAATTAGTTATCAATGAGATTAGGCAGTGGCGCTTTTCGTTACCAAAATCTAATCCTCGGACATGCTGCTAGATACAAGGAGCATCAGTTAGGCTTTGTGGGGAGGAGGACGGAAAGGGTATCGTCAAAACCTCACTCCTCCCACGAGGGCTTGGGTCATGGCGAACGCAAAGTGCCGATCCTGCGATCATGTCGCTGACAACGACGCTTACTGCAACTCGTGTGCCGCGGACATCATGGCCAAGGCCCTCAACCCTTCCTCCGGCGGACGGCGAAAGCGTCTCCCCCGGACGGAGCCACACAGACCATTCGCTCCCCCCACTCAAAACAGGCTCTTGCAGTAACCCTGTGCGCACAATATTACCCTGCCCCCCGCCGCGCAGCAGATGGTGCGCCTCAGCAACGCCGTGCGCATTTCCTGGAGTCGATAAACGCCAGCGCATGGCGCCTGTCCGCGATTACGCCGTCAGGACTTACGCTGGTCCTTGGATGAGCTGCACGCCTTCGTAGCCGGTCCGTGGGTTTTACAGACTCTGTCTGACGAAGATGAAGATGAGCACCATACGGCTGTGCCGCTTATTGCACCGGACGGGATTGCCCGCGCTACACCTGATGGAAAATCATGTCTTTCCGCCGCGCTCCCAAGGTGCCACGCAGCAGTAAATCGAACTCTCCTCTCCTATATGCCGGGCCGTGCCGAATTTACCTAGGGCAAGGACTCCCGCCCGGCTGAGAACAGCGGCCTCGAGCGCGATAGGGCCGACGCGGGTGCCTCCCATCTCCCCAGCAATGCACTCCGAGGGCGGGAACCGTTATGTCGTCTGGGCCTATCTCAGGGATCCCATTGCCGTACGGCTCCCATTGAATTTTGGCGCCAGCGTGAGAATTACATCGTTACGATTCCTGCTTGAATAATCCACTAATTCGTTGACAATAATTATGTCTCTTGCTAGATTAGGCAAACTATCGTATCAAATAGATATAATATATTACGAAAAAAGAACTGTTGAAGGGCATCGAGACCATTGAGGAGTGCGAGCTGCCCATTGACGTTCAGGCCAGGTCCCTGGGGAAAATGCTCGCAGATCTACAATATCGAGACGCCCAGGAAGATATCAAACGACCGGGGGACCGGGATTCACCGCGCGGACTGGTGGCCCGACGAAGACGAAAGCCGGGAAGCCCTCAAGCCGGAGTCTTAGATGACGCGCCGGTAGCCTGATCGCCCTGCGGACACGCACGATCACGACCAGCAAAGACTTCGAGGTTTTCGACAGCGGCTGCACCACACGGGAGGCGCTGAGCCAGGCATGACTTTATGCAGCGATTTCCTCTACCTGCGAAAAAACGTCTGGGGCTCCCGCTACCCTCTTCACCACTACACATGTCCAGCGTGTGGGAATCCATCGAGACCCTAGCCGGGGCAGACGTGGAGCGGCCGACCATCGCCCGCATGATGGTCGGGAACGCCGGGGGAGCAGATCGGCCTGAGTTGATTCGCCCTTAGTTGTAAGGGTACGCTCTCCTGCTGAGCACCAACGCGCTCTGAGAGCCCCGCCTGTCATGGCAAAGCAATCGGACAGGCCGGTCCTCCTTTACTGGAGCGGCCAAGGTTATTTGCCGGAGACGTTGCATAGGAAAAGGAGGACGATATGTCCAGCGAGTCCGGCCATACGGAAAAACTGGGAATCGACGACTGTACTGTGCCGGAGACCAATGTCAGCGTTTACGACGCCCTCTATCGCCGACGCATGGCGTGGGACTTCAAGAACCAGCCGGTGCCCAGGGATGCGCTGGCCCGCATGCTGGATACGGCCATCTGGGCGCCTAACCACCGCCTCACCGAGCCCTGGCGGTTCTTCATCCTGAAGCAGGAAGTGCGGCGTTGGAGAAAGTGGCGGGGCTGGCCCATGACTTCGCCCTGCAGCGGAGCGGCAACGCACAGCGCGCCGAGGCCACCCGGGATTCATTGCTCAAGACCCCGGTGATCATCTACATGTACTCAACTCCCGGGCTGAGACGAAGAGGGCACACGGGAGAATCTACGCGTCGGTCTGTTGCGCTGCCCACAACATAGCGCTGGCCGGAGTGGCCGAGGGCCTGGCGGTCACGTGGGAAACCGGCGGCCCCACCCGCCACCCGGACCTGGCAAGGACTCTGGGCGCCGAAGAAGATTGGGAGCTGGCGACCATGCTTTCCATCGGATATCCCACGGAGGATCCCCCATCCAAGCGCACCCCGCTATCCAACTTCGTCCAGTGGTTGGAATAGCACCTGCCGACCCGGCACAAATGAGGAGGCGCCATGCCCATTATCAGGACAATCGACCGGAACAAAAGGGAAGATGCAACCTCCCTCGGCCTGGAGTCGTTCAGCATCATTGATGCGGCCCAGGGCAGCGATTCTCTGAGAGTAGGGGAAGTGACCATCGCTGCCATGTCCCGCGTGCCGCGACACACACACACCAACACGGAAGAGGCGATGGTCCTGTTGGAGGGCAGCCTCGAAGCGTTGGTGGGCAGGGAGCGACTGACCATAGGACCCGGCGACCTGGTGCTGGCGCCCGCCGGCACGGTGCACGGTTTCGTCAACGTCTCCGATTCGCCGGCCCGTTTGTTGTTCGTATTTCCGATTCACGAACCCGACCGGGTGCTGACGACGCCGCCCAACGCACCACCCTCGGGGTTCCCGTCGGAGCAGGGCCTCTCCGGCTTCCGGTCTCCCCACGACCGGCCCCTGGAGAGGGAGTCTGAGTCTTGACGGGCGTATTGCTATTGAGTAAGGTAACATCAGAAACAAATCTCCCCAACAAGAGGGCAAGCAATGCCGGATTACGACAAAATTATTCGAAACGGTACGATAGTTGATGGCACCGGCGGGATGCCGGCTTTCCGAGGCGATGTTGCCATTAAAGACGGCAAAATCGCCATGATCAGCGGTAGGATCCAGGGGTCGGCCAAGGAGGAACTGGACGCCACAGGCTGCATAGTCGCCCCGGGCGCCATCGACCTGCACACCCACTACGATCTCCAGCTCAACTGGGAACCCTATGCCACCATGTCCGGCTGGCACGGCGTCACGTCGGTGACCATCGGCCAGTGCGGTTTCGGGTTCGCCCCGTGCAAACCCGAGGACCGGGACGCGGCGATGCGCCTGATGACCAGAATCGAGGCAATCCCCCTGAGGACGATGGAACTGGGCCTGCGCTGGGACTGGGAGACCTTCCCGCAGTGGATGGACAGCCTGGACAGCCACCCCCTGGGCATTAACGTGGGCGCGCTGGTCCCCTTCAACACCCTGCGCATGTACGTGATGGGGCTGGAGGAGTCCCGCACCACGATACGGGCTTCCGACGAAGAGATCCGGCATATGGAGAACCTTCTTCGCGACTCGATGAAAGCCGGCGCCTTCGGCTGGTCGGCGATGAAGACCCTGGCCAACCGCCCCGACGACGGGCGTTTCATCCCCAGCCAGGTGGCCTCCAACGACGAATTCCTGGCTCTGGCCAAGGTGCTGAACGAATTCGGTGTCGGCCACATCGGTTGGACCCGCGGCCCGGCGGAACGGCCCTTGCCGCCCGGTGAACCGGACCTGATTGGCGGCGGAGACCCCGGCGCTGTCGTGGCCGCCGTTACCGGGCAGTCCGCGATCCTGATGGACGCTGTGGAGGGCGACGCTCCGGGCCGGGGCCGGGAAGACTTCCTCATCGAGATGTGCTTGGCCTCCGGCCGGCCCATACAGTGGGGCGCGGTGTCCTTCAACGAGAACGCCCCCGGCCGTTACAGGGAGCAGTTGGCGTTCTTGGAAAGAGCCCGCCAGGAAGGCGCGCCGATGTACGCCCAGACCACGGCCTACTCCCCCTCGCCGGTGTTCGAGCTGGCCGAATACAACGGCTTCGACGCCATGCCCAACTGGATTGACCCGTTCGTCGGCACGCCCGAGGAGCGGATCGCCAAGCTGAACATCCCCGAGAACCGGGACAAGATGCGCCAGGACGTGGGCGCTTATGCCGGTCAGGGCGGCGCCGCCGACGCAGCCTCAGAGTGGTCCAAGATGCGGGTGGTCGAAGTCCGGGAGGACCGCAACCTGCAGTACGAGGGCAAGACCATCGCCGAGCTGGCCGAGATGACGGGCAAGCACCCCATGGACGCCATGCTCGACCTGGCCATTGACGAGGGCCTGCGCACCGAGTTCACCTTCGACTCGGCCCAAGGCACCGACAGGAAGGCGGTATCCGAAATCCTGAACCACCCATACACCCATCCGTGCGTGTCTGACGGTGGCGCCCATACCCGGTATCAGACTCTCGGCTGCTGGCCGGTCAACATGATTGCGGACCGGGTCAGGGACCAGGGTATGATGAGCTTGGAGAAGGCCCACTACAAGATGAGCAGCCTGCCTGCGGCCATCGCCGGTTTCACCGACCGGGGAATCCTGAAGGAAGGTTACGCCGCCGACATCATGGTCTACGATTTGGACAAGCTGGGCCTCCAGTTCGATAGCCCGGTCTATGACACAGACTTCCCGGGAGGGGAACGGCGCATAATCCAGAAGGCCAAGGGAATCCGCTTCACCATCGTCAACGGCGAAGTCACCTTCACCGAGGGCACTGTGTGCACCGGAGCGACCCCTGGGAAGCTGCTGCGCAGCTATGACATGGTAAACCGCTAACCCTTCGAGGGTTCGGACTGTTTCCGGGTTGCTTGATGTGCGCCCAATCGAAGGACCCCCCAAAGGGGGGTCCTTCGCCGTTACCTGCCGGACAGTCCGGGTGGAAACATTGGGAGGAATTCGATGAATTCAGCTATTCAAGGAAGTAACGGGTAAGCCAGTTCGGAAAATGGTCTGTACTGCTTTTTCACCCACCGGCAAAGGATTCAACAGCGCTGGGCAGAGACCTGGAGTTTCCGATATCTAGAATCTCATGAAATCTGATGCTCCAGCTTTGCCGGAGCCAACATAACAACTACGGATTACGTTGACGATTCACAGACCGTTGCCGGTATCGCCGGTCTTACAAGGTCTCCACTCCCTGACGCCGGGAAGATCAAACCCGGCCGTGTCTCAAGGATCAACGCCGCCTTGTCGTCCCTTTCGTTCCAGAAGCCGCACCCACCGCACTGCCACTGCCGTTCCGGGAGGGTTAAGGGCCTCATGCCTTCATTCGCACTGCGAGCACAGCTTCGATGACGGAAACCAAAGGTCTGCTCTGAGAAGCTCCACTCCGTACCAGAGGCACTTGCACGTCAACTTCTACAGAAAGCCGGGCATCCCGGCATGAGCAAGGGCCCGCGCCAGCCTACGGTTCCTCCTCATCCCCGATACATTCAGGTCCTCCACCACCACCCGGCCCGCCAGCTTGGCTATCGCCGTCGTGGCCTTGTGATGATGGCCATTCCTGATGTTCACAACCCGGGCATGAAGTCTGCGCCTCACGGTATACAACCGCTCCCGGCGCTTACTGGGTTCTCTTATACCATGGAAGTTCCTGGAACTGGCAATGGCCCTGTCCACCCGACGCAGTCGTGCCAAGGCAGGCCGCAACGCCCTTGGGTCCCCAGTTCACACTTCCGACGTGAGCGTTACTCGGGGCGGACCAACGCCCACAGTCGCCCTTCCTCAATATCCACGTGGACAGCCCTCAGGCGGACATAAGGCTGGTTTACACACACACCTTCATCCTTGTCAAACTGCCATCCGTGGCCGTCGCAGGTGAACACTTCCTCACCTTCGTCCTGTATCTCACCACCTTGGTGGGGGCAAATGACGGATAGCAATTTGTAGCCATCACTGCCCTTGGCCAGGAAGAATTTGGCATCACCCACCACGACCGGAAAGGGAAGACTTGGGAGTGACGACTCTTCACCCAAGTCCACCTTGATTCTCCTCGGGCGCCCAAGGGCGTTGAGTGGTCGGGAGGACATGGCTGCTCCTGCCCGCATTTAGTGGGAATGAAGGAGTTGACTGCTGCGAGCATAGCAAAAGCCTCCGGCTCCATCAATGAGCCAATACACTGCTTCGGCCTCGTACACGATGAATCATGCCGCCCGCGGCAGCAAAATCTGAGAATCATCCGATCTACCAAGGTATGCGTTCCGTTCATCACCGCATCGGCGTTGCTTCTGGAGCACCAGACGTTCCATTTCGACGCGGGACAACACGTCCACGGGGGCGGATGTCCCGCGTCAACTATTTTTGCCGGCAAGACTAATTGTCGTTGATCACCAGGAAGCAGGCAAAGGGGCTGACCAGCGAGGCTCTGTCCGAGGATACGTACACGTTTATGGCGTGCACTCTGTGGGCGTCTATCCCCGAGCTGAGCAGCACGAACACGGCCCCGGCAAAGGGGGAAACAAGCTGGCCATCCCTCGAGCTTCTCTGAACTTTCCTGAATTCTCCCGGGAGCTACGGACCAGCGTGGGTGAACTAGATAACCCTGTCTCCCCGCCTTGGCGTGGACTCGCTGTCCGGCTCACCTGCCGCCCCGGGCAGCGGGGTCAACATCACGCGCCAATGGGGAGTTTCCTTGGACGCCTCGACCAAGAGTTCCCCCAGCGGGACATCGATGTCAATATCGTCGAATTCGAAGTTGAAGGCGGCCCTCACATCGGCGGGGCAGACGATGCCCGCCGTGGCGTTGTTCTCCCGTCCCACCCGCCTCAGTTCATCGCGTTCGGCGAGGGTCATCTTCTGCTGGTAGTGGCAGCCAGCGATGGCGCATTTGTGCGAGACTTTTCTGGGCATTTCCCAATATTACAACGACTGCTCAGGGAGGGGGTTTCGGGCATGCGTGCAGGGTGAAGGACTGACGTGGCGTCACGGCCGAGGGACTGGGCTACGCCGCATCTGATGCACCTGCATCGGAACGGAGCAAGAAGATAGAATCAGTCTTGGTTGGGGTGGGAAATAAGAGCTGGAATTTCGGTGACCTTCTCTGGTGAGGCAACAGGACCGGCAAGACTTATTGTCGTTGATCAGTACGATTATCGCGCCTGTGAAGGCAAGGCCCGTGGGTAGTTTCCGGGCCTCCTTGGAGTTCTCAGGGCAAAGGCCAGACCAGCTTGTCCGTCAGGGATCTGAGGGATCTGCTGGGAGGGATCAGCGTACAATTGTACGCACAGGGTTACTGGAACAGCCTGTGTTGAGTGGAGGAAGAGGAGGGTCTGGGCCGCTCCGGCCGGGGGAGCCTCTTTCGGCGTCCGCCGGAGAAGGGGTTGAGGGCCCGGCCATGATGTCCGCGGCGCACGAACTGCAGTAAGCGCCGGCGTCAGCGGCATGATCGCAGGACCTGCATTTTGCGTTCGCAATGACCGAAGCCCTCGTTGGAGGAGTGAGGAGTTTTCGATACCCTTTCCGTCCTTCTCCCCACAAGGCCTGACTGTCAGTAATTCCACGTACAACGCCGGTTCGCACAACCGGTCTTCTGACCGCCGAACGTAACCCGGGGGACAAAACGGGCCCCGTCTGCCGCACCGTGGCAAGACCGGCTCCCCCACCAGGGCCGTGAGATACTCGGCGACGTCTACCGGTGCAGCCGGCTGCCAGAGGACGCCGGCATCGCCGCCTGGGCCACGAACTGACGCCACTGCCCCGAGTAGGCCTTTGGGGTCGCATCCGACCGGCCGGCCGAGACGGCACCGGTGACGACCGGGGAGAGGATCTTCGGCCCCGGCTCAGAGGAAACCGCCTGCGGGGTCAGCCCAGGGCGGATCGGCGGGGGACTCCGGGCGGAGCGGGTCTAGGTCGAGCAGGGAGAATTGCCTCGGCGAAACGGCCTGCGCCATGGTCTGAGCCTCCGAGTACCCGGCTCGGAAATGTTCGATAACTATTCCCGCGCCTGCGGAGGAACCGCCCGCCGAGGCAGAGCTGTACGGCATTGTCACGGTCTACCCCCGCGCCTGTGGGGGAAAACCAGTGACTGCCTGATTCAACAGGCAGCAACAACAAGTCTGACACTCCTAACCCGAATCCACCGATGGACGCGCGAGGGGGGGTGTATGAGAGGGAGGGGGATTGAGGGACGGGGAGGGGAGGGGATTGGGGATGGGAAGACGGGTATGGGGGGAGGGAGAGGTGAGGTGGGGTGGGGGGGGGGGGGGGGTGGAGGGGGGGAGGATATAAGTGGATGGTTTGTCGGGATGGGGGTGGGTGTAGTGGGAGGAGGGGGGGGGACCGGGGGTGTGTGGGGGAGAGGTGCAGTGGGATTAGAGCGGGGTGGGAAAGGGACAGGGAGAGGATGGGGTGGGTAGTTTGGTGGGTTGAGTTGAGGGGTGAGAAGGGTGTGAAGAGGGGGAGTGAGGTTTAGTGTGGGGGTGGTGGGGGGGGTGGGGGGAGGGGGAGGTGAGATGTTGTCGGACGGTGATTGGCGTGGATGGGAAGGGGAATGATAGAAGGGAGGGGGGAAGGAGGATAGCGGGAAGAGAGTGGTGTGGGTGGTGGGAGGGGGGGGGGGTTGGTAGTTGGGGGGAGTGGGAGGGGGGGTGAGGAGAGGTGATGGTGAGTGTGGGTGGAGGGGGAGGGGTGAAGGGGAGTGGAAGGTTGGTGGTGGGGGAGGTGGGAGAGTAGTCGAGGGGGGGGTGAGTACGTGTGTGAAGGAATTGGGGTGCTTATAAGAAGAGTTGGGGGTAAAAGAAAGAGGGGGGGGGGATGTGTCTGGGTAAATGGGGATAATGGAAGACGGAAGAGATGAGATAATGGATCGTGGGTGCGGTGTCGGGGGGTGGTTAGGGGGGAGGTATAGGGGGGGTGAGGGTTGGTGATTAATTTAAAGTGGGGAGAGGGTTGGTGGGGGGAGATGGCGATGGGGGGTGCGAGGAGGGGGGGATGGGGGGTGGTGGGGGGTGTGGGAGTGGGGGGGGGGGGATGGGAGGGGGGATAGGGAGGGTGGGGGGGGGTTGGGGGGGGTAGGGTGGGGGAGGAGAACGTGGGGAGTGGAGATTAAAGGGTGGGTGATGGGGGGGTGGAAGTTCGGGGGGGGTTTGGGTGTAGGGATGGAAGTGGTGGAGTTTTTGGGGAGTCGGTAGGGGGAGAATTTAGGGTGATGGGAGGGGGGGGAGGGGGGTGTGTGGAGAGGGGGTCCGTGAGGGGTGAGGGAGTTACAGGCGCGATGATCCGGGCTCGATTCGGGTAGACGGGAGGTAGGCGGGCGGTCCCGCAAGCGCTTTTGGGTCGACGATGGCGGCCTGCAGTGGCTGTAGCGAGCGAGATGGCGGGATAGGACGCGGCAGGAGACCCTCGCGGACCGGGATGGCGCGAGTTGGCAGGGACGTTCAGTTGGCCGGAGGACGGGTCAGTGGCAGAAGGGCGCTGTCAGGCTGGGAGTGGAATGGCTCGGAGCCGTGCCAGGGCACGATCGAACTGGGCTTCCCAAGGCCGGCGCCGGGGAAGATGCAGGGTGAGGCGACGCGCCGAACGGGTGAGCCGTCCCGCCAGGGCAAAGAACCGCCGCCGGAGGGTCTTGGTGGTCACCACCTGCTCGCCCAGACCGATTCGTGCTGTCCAGCGGGCCAGGTTGTGGGCCATCACCTGCACCGCCAGCCAGGCGGCGTTGGCGGCGAAGCGGCCCGAGGGGAGATGGTTCAGCCCCACGCCGTACTTGAGGTCTCGGATGGCGTTCTCGATCTCGGCGTGGCGGCGATGGTCGGCCTCCAGTTCGAGCATCTCCCCATCGCGGTCGGTGATGAAGCCGTGATAGCTGTAGGAGGCGAAGAGGGCCAGCTGGGAACCGGGTGTGGGCTTGACCCGCCGGACGATGAGCCGCACCGGCGCGGCGCCGGGCTCACTCTCAAAGGGAGTGTAGGTGGTCTCGGCCACATCGGCGGCGCCGTCCATCCAGTAGGGGATGGGCGTCCAGTCCGCCTCGGGTATGGTCTCGATGATATTGCACAGGCTTTTGTGTTGGCGGATGGTGATGGAGAAGCGGACATCCATCTTGCGGCAGACGGATACCACGCCATGAGTGTAGAAGCCGCTGTCGGCCCGCACCGTGAGTTGTCCCGTGCCCCCGGCGTAGCGCACCCGTCCCACCGTCTCACGCAGGAAGTGGCGGCGCCGCGGGCGGTGTTGGCCCGTGGCCCTCGCGCAGCCGGACATCAGCACGTCCCCGGTGCCGGTGGCAACGACCAGCAACGGGTGATAGCCCCGTTTGCCGGTATAGCCGTGGTGGCGTGCGCCCTCCTTGTCCAGTCCGTAAGTCTCGCAGATGGTGGAATCGAGGTCGATGGTCAACGGCGCGTCGCCGGGTCCCGCCCGGCGGCCCAGGCACGGGCCAGCAGCTCCCCGCTCACCCGATCCAACTGGCGGACGTGGCCCCAGAGAAAGCTGCGCAGGAAAGTGCCCAGGGTGGATGACGCCTTGACCATGCAGTCGAGAACACCGGCCGTCCCACCGGAGCGCAGCGCATCGGCGTCGTCGATGCAATCGCCGCCCGCTAGGGCGGAGGCCAGCAGCGTCATTATCTTGTCGCCGGTGTTGGCCCGGCCCGGCGCATCGCCCAGGTCCAGGCGCTGCTGTACCAGTTGGGAAAGACCGAGGTGCAGGGCCAAGGTGGCTGGGAGGAGCAGGCCGGCATTGTCCACCAGGCGGTGATCGTCGAAGGCTACTTGGATGCGGTCGAGGTAGTTGCGTGGTAGCAACTATTGGGTGCTCCTTTTCTGGGGTCGGGTTGCTGTTACAAAACCATTATCCCAGATTCAGAGGAGCACCCTTTTGTTTCTTCAGAAGGCCTCTCACACGCGCCCGTTCGGTGGATTGGGGCTAACGTGAGCCCTCCACCTGGACCGTAACGATGTCCAGGCCATGATATTTCCGGTGGCGTACTGAGGAGGCATAGTGCCGCAGCAGGCGGTAGGAAATCTCGTGTTCCTCCGGGATTTCAGACTGTTCGCCCATGCAGGCCAAGCGGTCCTCCAGGTTCTCGCCTTCCAGGGAAGACAGGAATTCAAGCTCCACGGTGCGGGCAGCAGGACGGGCAATGACGGTCAGGCGTCGCGGTCCATTTCCGGCTTCGCCCTCACCGTCTTGGAAGAGGCTGGATAGCGCTTCCTCCCCGACGAATCGCAGCCGACCTGCCGAGGCCTCGCTCCAGCCCGCACGGCCGGCGACCCGTTGCAGAAACTCGTCAATGTCAGGGAGGGCGGAGATATTCAGTTCAGTCTCCAAGCGCAGGCTGCGGGGAGTAGTGAGGTTCATTATCACAGTCATCCCGATTGCGGAAAAGGTCCCTGCAGCCAGTCCGTTGCCCAGTAGAGTGCCCCATACTTCATCGGTCACGTCGGAAAAGAGGTCCTGGCTCTGGAAACCGACTCCCAGGGCGAATGACACCGCCACCACGATGGCCCCGCGGTAGTCGAGGCCGTCCTGCAGGATGGTCCGGGCGCCCTCAACGAAGAGCATTCCCATGACCGTCATCAGGTATACCCCCATAACCGGACTGGGGATCGCCAAGAGCAGGGCGGCCACCTTGGGCAGGAACGCCATCCCTATGAGTATGGCCCCCACGGCGTAACCGACGTGGCACGATGCCACCCCGGTCAGCGTGACGAGGGTCACGGTGTTGGCCTCATGGGTTGCCGGGGGCGGAACTCCGGCTACCCCGGCCAGCAGCGTACCGGCCCCCACGACGTTAACGGCGCCCTGTACCCGGCGAAAGTCGGTCACGCGCTCACGGCGCCACGAGGCCCGCTGGA